CGCCCCGGCCCTGCTCCCACGGTGGCGTCTACCTCTTCCTGAATCTGAGCGACTTTATCTGCAAAAAACTTTACAAAATCATTGCAGGAGATCATGTGGCCCGTACTGGGCCCCGATGTAGCAGGTGGTTCCGCTAAATTGCGGACCACCTGAAAAAGTCTCCTGCTGCTGTTTTCTGCAGATGCAATAGAGGCGGTGAAGAAAGTCTTCTTCGCCGTCGCTACCGCCACTTGGTAGGCTCGACATTGAGCTCTAACCTGTGTCCGGTCAGCTTCAGAATGGGTCATCCGCCACCGGCGCTCTAGCCGTCTCAACGATTGTTTCATTGCCCTCAGATCCGTGGAAAACCACGGGGCTGTCCGGGCTCCATGCAATCGGAGAGGGCGCTTCGGAGCCAAACAGTCAATAGCCCTGGTTAACTCCACATTCCAGCGGGCCACCAGGGAATCAGCTGAAAGGCCATCAACATGGGATAAAACATCCCCTACCACTCTTTGGAAACCATTTGGATTCATTAAGGGGCGGGGGCGGACTATGCGAATCGGTTCCACCTCCCTGCAGAGGGGAAGGGTCGTGGAGAAGTCAAGTTGCACCAGGAAGTGGTCTGACCATGGTACTTCTTTCATTTGGCTTTTACTTAGTGTCAGATCACCAACATCCATAGAGGTAAACACCAGGTCCAAGGCATGTCCGCGGCTATGGGTTGGGCCAAACTTATTCAGGGACAGCCCCATGGAGGCCATGCTTTCCACGAAGTCCCGAGCGGCCCCTTGTAAGGTCGTGTCGGCATGGATATTAAAATCCCCTAGGACAACCAAACTAGGTGTCTCCAGGAGAACATCCGCCACGACCTGAAGCAGCTCGGGCAGGGAATCCTTGGTGCAGCAGGGAGGTCGGTACACCAAAAGGAATCCTGTACTGCCTCTATTGCCCAACTTCCAGAACATGCACTCAGAGAACTGGGTCTTCCCAATAGGACGCCTGGTGCAAACTAATGACTTCCTAAAAATCACTGCAACCCCCCCTCCCCGCCCACAAGGCCTGGGTTGCTGTGCACAAGAGAAACCTGGTGGACAAGCAGCGGCAAGAACAGGCCCATCTGCTTCATGCAACCAAGTCTCTGTTACACATGCCAGGTCAAATCCTCCATCCATGATCAAGTCATGGATGGCAGTGGTCTTATGAATCATTGACCTGGCATTGCACAGCAGCACCTTCAGGTCATGTGGGTATCCCTTGCTGATTCTAGTATCCGTCCAGTCAGGACCAGACCCGGAGGCAGGGATAGTCCTCAGACAACGACTAAACCTGCCTCCTCTGTAATGACATGGTCTGGTCTTAGCGTAACTCCTCCTCCTACCCGTGATCACTGAGATCGGTTGTCCCAGCGCATCCCCCTCTGTGGAACATGCCCCAGCCATTTTGTTGGCTCGGACCCACTCCCCGGCAGCCCTGACCCCTCCCCTTAAGAACAAAATAAAACCTTAAAATAATTTAAAAAAAAACCCAGAAAACAAAAAACAATACAAATAAAAAACTGTACAAATTACAAATCCATCAAAATCAAACAAATTCCCAACTAAACATCCATCCCACCCCCATCCCCGTCCCCGCATATACAAAAAATAAAAAATAAAAAGGAAAAGGAAAATTTTAAAACATTTTAAAAAGAACTTTGCGCCCCTCCGGATCCCCCTGGGCTGCAGCAGCAGTGACAGCAACCATCCCTGTGAAGCCTGTCATGCCCCGCCCTGGGCCAGGTGGTGAATGCCAGGAGCAGGGTCCTCAGACACTCACACAGGGGAGTCCTCCTGGGCGGCAGAGCGCAGCAGTCCCTGTGAGGCTTCAGGCCCCGCCCTGGGCCAGGTAGGTGGTAAGCGGCAAGAGCAGGGCCCTCAGACACTCACACAAGCGAGTCCTCCTCATCCCGGACGCGGAGACCTGCGCCTCCCAGCTTCCCCGGGCTGGGGCAGGCAGCGGGGACGCACCGCCCGCCTCAGACTCCGGGACAGCGGGAGACGCTCGCTCCAGCTGTGGGCGGGCAGCAGGGGGCTCCCCGCCACCCGCCTCAGACAGTCGGGACAGCGGAAGAGCCTGCGCCTAGCTGTCCCCTGGCGCGGTCCGGACAGCGAGACTGCGCCTCCAGCTGTCCCGGAGCTGGCAGGCAGCAGGCGCGCCGCCCGCCTCAGACAGGTCAGGGACAGCGGGGCTCCCGCGGCGCCTCCCGGGACGGGAAGGCTGCGCCTCCCAGCTGTCCCGGAGCAGGGCAGGCAGCGGAGAGCGCTCTCCTCGCCGCCGCCTGCAGACCAGTCCGGGACAGCGGGAGCTGGCTGGCGGCGGGGCACGGTCCGCTGTCACAACCTTGGGGCTGCGGCCCCTGAGCCTGGAGCGAGAGGGCGGTCGCACCGAACCCTCTCGCTTCCAGGCTTCAGCGAGCTCATTTGCCCCATAGGACGCACACACATTTTCCCTTCATTTTTGGAGGGGAAAAAGTGCGTCCTATAGGGCGAAAAATACGGTATCGCAACACCCTGACCTTAAACCTTCTGCCCAGGGGACATCATGTAAAAATAAGCCGTATTTTTATTTATTTATAAATAAATATTTATATACCACTGTATCATAAAAATATATCACAGCAGGTTACAGCAGTATAAAAACATAAAACCAAACAATAAAATCACAAAATGTTAAAAGCAAGTTAAAAACAAAAAGAAATTAAAAGCAAGCATCAGTAGAACATTATGGGGGGTGTACTCTTAACTGCCTGCATAACCCTGGCAGTATAGAAAAGTTTTCAGGTGTTTAAAAGTTGGCACAGAAGGTCCCACTGAATTTCCATTGGAAGGGTGTTCCACGGGACCGGGCCTATGACACTAAAGGTTTGATTTCTTATTGTTGTCAAACGAGCCTCACCAACTAGGACAAAGGATTCTATGTTGCCAAGAGGAAATATATCAAATTACCTCTAATTATCCCCAGAACAGGGACTAGACAGGCACAAGCAGGTTAAGCTTCCTTCACGCTCTGAAGTCCATGTGTATCATTCATGCCCTGGAGGGATATATTGTGAGAAAGGGATTGATTGGCTTGTATCTTGAGATTGCCCAGAAAAAGGCCAAATAGCATTGCCACAGTAGTCTTACTCATACAGGAAAAGCAGAGGCTCAACTTGCTATATCTGAAAAGTATCTGCTTGATAGTGGGTTGACAGTAACGTCTTTGCCTGGTGCCTAAAAGGTGATAATGATGGTGCCAGTGAGAGCACTCCACAGTCAGGGAGTCACCACTGTGAAGGCCCAACACAAAGAAAGGCATCAGAGGATAGACTCTGGGGCCAGGTAGGTTTGTGCAGAGAAAGGCAGTCCATAAGATACTTGTCTCCTGAGGCAACTAAGACTATACAGGTCAAAATCAGGAATTTGACTTGAGCCCAGAAATGACTCGGCAGCCAATGCAGTCAGGCCAGGATTGATATATGATCAGACCTTCCCATCTACAATCTGGCCTCCGAATTCTGCACTGGCTGCAGTTACCAAACTGCCTTCAAAGTCAGACCCATTTATAATGCATTGCAGTAATCTAATGGAATTGCAGCGGAATTACATACACACTCAGAAAGTCAGGACTTTGCAATGCAGATAGGTCCCTGGACTAGTGTTATATAGCCTGATATAACAAGAGGCTCAATGTAATGACCCAATTTCAGCCGATGCTCATCATAAAAGTTCTATGGAATTCTGATGCAAAGTTCCAGAGAGGCAGTCTATTTTGTGGAATTGTCTTGAGACTGAGTCACTAAGAAGAGCATCAGTACCTCTGGAAAAGTCATATCAAAGCTAAATGGAGCATAATAGGTTTCAGAGAACCATCAGAAGTTGATTGGGAATGAGAGACTTTGAACACCCTGCAGTGTGCCTCCTGCTGTATTCCACTTTGGACTAGGATTGTATCAGGCGAGTTCAATGGTGCAGGAACTGGGCCTCTTTCTCTACTTGGAAACTACTCAGCACTGTGTAGGAATGCTAATAATCAAGTAGATTTTTGTCAGAACTTTAAATTTAAATTCCCTCAAGAAAAAGCAGCAAGTGGTCGATTTTAATTCTGGTTCAGTCTGGAACTAAGTTTGACTTTATGGGACCCAGCCCAGTAAAGAAGACTGGTTTCTCAGCAAATCATTGTTGGGATTTAACAGCTAATGAGGAACATGTGACAGTTTTTGCTAAAGCAAAGGTGGTAACATCACCCATATCAATCTTAATGCCCACAGATTAATTTTTCAATGTGAATTCCACATGGTTCTTTCAGGAAGATCAGGTTCCTCACATTATACCACTGCATAATATTGAAAGGTAGTTGTATGAAAAATTGTACGGTTGCCCAGGGCACTGATCTCCAGTAGGCACTGAGCAACCTGCTGGACTCCCTAAGTAAATATCCCATGGCCAGTTATAACATTGCCAGCAACTGTTTGCTCCAGGCCTCAGAGTTTGTAGAAAGGAGCAAAAATGGTTCATCTACTGTGAGCTTTCACCTTCCCCACATGATCACTTGGGTATGATGGTGATTGTGCTTCTTTGTGGCTGGTATGTGAAAAGAACATCTGGGGTGGTAAGACACACTGAAAATACAATCTGCACAGGAATGTTGGTGTTGAATGTGGCCACCTTTTTTCCATTTCCTTTGTATTGGGTGGATGTTAGAGAAAGGAAGAGTACGAACTCAAAAAGCAAAATACTTTGGAACCTAGTGAGTACAGAACCATAACTTTCATCTAAAGCACCCCAATGCTTTTCCTGGCACTGTTAAACAACTACCATTTTCCCCCAGATTGTATTTCATTGGCATTGAGCAATCTTACAAATGAATGACTTGTAGGGTTTCACTCACAGTCAGTGGCATAATTTGGCCAGTGGTATGAAAATATAAACAGATTCTCTGTTCTTGGTGCACCACACCAATGTTCATCCAGTGTCTTTCTTTTTCAGATCTTCCATCCCATGATGACACCCTTCAGCAGAATCACTAGCAATCCCAATTCTACAGTATCAGCCCCATACTGGCAGGATAACTCCACAGAACCTGGATCACCACAGTCTCATGCCTACTATGCCCTCTGGTACTGCATCTTGATCTTGGCCATCGTTTTTGGGAATGTCCTAGTCTGCCTGGCAGTGTTGAGGGAACGTAGCCTGCAAACTACCACCAACTACCTTGTGGTGAGCCTGGCAGTAGCAGACCTGCTTGTGGCCACTTTGGTGATGCCATGGGTAGTATACCTAGAGGTCAGTATACTTTAGGCTTGCCAGTCCTATGGCTTTTCTTTTAGTATTTATGCATGATTAATATACTCTCAAATTTTGTCATCCATTTAGAACTATACAAAACAGTAAACATCCACAGCTATGGTCTATATCAGGGGTCAGCAAACATTTTAAGCAGGGGGCTGGTCCACTGTCCCTCAGACCTTGTGGGAGGCCAGACTATTTTTGGGGACGGGTGGGATATGAACAAATTCCTGTGCACCACAAATAAAGCAGAGATGCATTTTAAATAAAAGCACACATTCCACTCATGTATATAAATACTGATTCCCGAACCATCCGCGGGCCGAATTTAGAAGGCGATTGGGCCAGCCCCGGCCCCCAAGCCTTAGTTTGCCTACCCATGGTCTATATTGTTTCTTCCTCCACCCTTAAATTGTGCGATTATTGTATTATTCTGCAGGTTATCATATGGGCCCAAACTGATCCAACAAAGAGGGCTCTGGGACCTAACTTGATGATACATTGAACTGGTAAATTACCAGAAAAGGTGGACATTCAGTTATGGATAGGTCACTGTTTCAACCCAAGTACCTTACGTACCTTACAAAAACAGCATGAGGAATCTCTTTGTTGCACACATGTGATGGACTCCGAGTGTTCTCTGCTTCTTCTAGTTTTATAACTAAATCATAAAAGAAAAATGTAACCCAGGTCTAGCGGAAAAAGTGAATAACAGAGGAGTATCAATTGTTAGATTTGTGCTGCTAAGCACAAATATCCATGTGCATTTTCATGTCTATGCATTGTTGGTGTAGAAACATATAATTTTAACAGAGCTGAGTTTACAAACTTTTAACTGTTTATTAATGAACACTTTAATTAAATAGATACCAATAGTCCCATCCTGTCCACAGATCTGGAATTATATGATCCAAGAAGGGGACAGAAAATACTAATATAGACACAATCTGAACAGAAGCACCATCTACACTGCAATCTCAGTGCTCACAGATATTCTGTGCAACAAAATAATTCAGATATTTTGTTGTTGCGCTGCTTCTTGCTAGCTGATTTTAAGATGGGTTTTTAATTAATTTTAGAAGCTAAGGTGACATACATACATAATACACATATGCCACACGTACTACAGAGCTGTTGCCCTCCCACAGTGCAGACTTTTCTGCACTTGGAAAAACAGTTCCTCTTACAAATATATGCCTCAACACATCGCTTGCATTTATGGGACTGGGGTGACAGAATTATGCTTTGGATGGCAAAGGCAAGAATACCCAGCTGGAATACTGATGTTCCTTCTTGAAAGGTGTATTTGACATCACTTGTCCACATGCCCTTGATGAAAATGTCTTCAGCTAATTGCCAGTAGCTTTTCTCCAGACCATGAATTTTCCAGCCCATTAAGTAGCACATTCTGCCCTAGAATCCAAGAGAATAGCGGGGGGCCACTAGGGGGGGCCACTAGGGGGCGCATTGGAAGATGGCTGACAATACCATCTCTCCGACACACACAGGGTAATTAAGAGGCTGTTATGGGAGTAGGCAGCCTCCCTTGTTGCCCCAAGGAAATGGGGAACACTGCCCTTGCCTGCTGTGCCCATAAATCACCCCCCTAATTCGAAAGAAGGGGTGAGGGCCCTAGGCAGAATGCCCCCGTGTGGACCTCGGCTCTCCTGGACGCTGTCTCTGATCGTGCACTAGTTGCAGCAATTTGGAATAATTAATTACAAAAGAAGCAAATGCACATATTTCAAGTGAAGAAGGGGAGTGAAGTCTGCTAATTTAAGTGACCTCTGCGAAAGAAGACGATGGGCTGGAGAAACAGGAATATTTTACGATGAAGATACACCAAAGGCGGGGTATGTTGACAACGGGGCTGAATGGGGGAACCTTTTTACTTTCCTTCTATGTGATTTACAAGAACCCCTCCTCATTAGAACCGTCGGTTGAACTGACCCAAGCAGGATGATTAAGGTCTGTGTGGAGATAAACTTTAACCAAAAGTATGCTTTATGGAGACCGAGAAGCAATAAGAGCTTTTGGGAATGGCGCAACAATTAATTCGGAGTCGCCATCTTGCCAAAGGATTTATAGCCGGGAGGAAGAACGGATTTGTTTTCAGACTGCATTCCTAGTGAATCTCCTCAGAGGTTTTGAGAAAGGAGGCAGATTGGTGAAGATTAATGACGCTAAGACTGTTTTGATGTATGGAAGTGATGTTATATGGAAAACGTCTGGATATGGCTACTGGATAAAAAAATAATATCCACGCAGGATTACAAACTGTTCTAACCAGCTTGCGGAGACTATCAGAGGTCACAAAGAGAAAGGAAAAATATATGAAAATAACAACAAGAGATGTGGAAAAATAATAAGAAAGGACTGGATAGTACTGTGAACATCATAAGGTTAGATTTGTGGACATTAAAACAGCAGTAAGAAGCAAGAAGTTGATTGGATCCCTTTGGAACTTGAAATATGGGTACCCCCAACAAAAATTTAAAATTCGGCTGTGTAATTTGGAATTTATGTAATTTGGTTTGATTTGATGTGATTGGTCGGCTAATAAAAAATTATTCTTAAAAAAAAAATAGAATCCAAGAGAATAGCACCCATGCATTAATGTATGTGGCTGACAACGGATGGAGATGGAGAGTATTTGTCCAGAGAACTCAGGGTCGTAAGACAATAGTTAAAACAGTGAACCATGCAGTTTTGCCATGTTATCCGCACCTGCAATACTCACGTAATAAATCTGATTTGTTTTAAGAATACACCTAATTAGTCCATTTTAAGTAGGGGTGAATAACTGTTAAGGATCTCGAATGACAACCATGCTTGGCTGCACCTACAAAAAGGAAGCATTTCATATAGCAATCCGTAGAACGCTTCTGGGGGCAGTCAAGGTGTCAAATGGTCTGCCACTTCTCCCAGATGAGATAATAATATCGCTTTGGGATTCATCACTTAAAAAATAAAATAAAAACCTATTATGGCTGTAAGAATAACCTTTCTGTAATTTATCTCATGGAATAAATGCCACTCTTTCAAATATGGCATATATAACAAATCTCGCGTTTCAAAGCTAAAAGAAAGTTGATTAAGCCAATCTTCCTATCAATTAAGTGTTCAAGGGTCCCAGCTAATTCTATGTATCTGGTAGTTCTACTGTGAATGACTCGAACTTGGTTACTGGTATACATTTTCCTAAATGTGGCATAGGCTAAAAATGAAAAGGGCTGACATACATTTGAATTAAGCTAACTGTTTTTTAAAAATATGTTATTTTGTTGAGCTACTAAGACCTAATTGCAGGTCTTCCTTGCTTTCAACACTATGGATGCCAGGCAGAAATCCACTTTGGATTCTTCACCAACATGTGCCTTTCCCACAGATTTTATCCTTAGTACACCTAATGAGGTTGGTTTCTTATGCAGCCTGAGGAAATATCTATATGACCAACATATCCCAGGATATGTTGGTCATATAGGGCCAACTGGGTGAAACCATAGTACTAAAAATCAGTGCTCAGGAATGTCCCTGCAAACAGTTATGTTTCTACCAACCAGCACAACACCATTTCCATAGGTGCCTACCATACCTCTAGGCAATACATCTCTGACATTGCAGAGCTGAAAACAAATGGAGGCAAACAAATTAAGTGGATTTCCACTTACTACTGCTGCACAATGGTTTGGAGCTTCTATCATCTGGCAATATCACTCTTCACTCAGTAACAGATCAAGCATTTCTCTTTTCAGTGATGCACTGACTAATTGCTTTCTGAAGATATTTAGGTAGAGTGCTCAGTCCATTAAAAGTATCTGTTTTAGGAAGATATAGCTGAATGCCTTGGGATACAATCCTAAACACACTTTCATGGAAGTAAATTCCATTAAAATAATTATATATAATGAAGGCAAAAATAGCTGAGATAATGAAAAAATAAATTAGGTCTCTAATCTGATTTTCAGCTGTCAGTAATTGTATTGGCTTCAGTGGAATTGCTGAAACCTTCATTGATGTAAATAAGAATGGATTTCTGCCCATTCTTTTAAAATCTGGTGGGTTCCTGGTTTATACTTGCATTCTTCATTTGTTTATTCATTGCACTGTATCACACACTTCCTTCAAGGTACTCATAATGGCTCTACCCTCTTCTTTTCACCACAACTCTGTGAAGTTTGTTAGACAAGAGGGACAGTGACTGGCCTATAGCTATTCGACAAACTTCATGGCTGAAAGGGATATAAACCGGGGTCCCCCACCTTTAGTCTCACCATAACCACTATGTTGTTGTTGTTGTTGTTTAGTCGTTTAGTCATGTCCGACTCTTCATGACCCCATGAACCAGAGCATGCCAGGCACTCCTGTCTTCCACTGCCTCCCGCAGTTTGGTCAAACTCATGCTGGTAGCTTCAAGAACACTGTCCAACCATCTCGTCCTCTGTCATCCCCTTCTCCTTTTGCCCTCCATTTTCCCCAGCATCAGGGTCTTTTCCAGGGAGTCTTCTCTTCTCATGAAGTGGCCAAAGTATTGGAGCCTCAGCTTCAGGATCTGTCCTTCCAGTGAGCACTCAGGGCTGATTTCCTTAAGAATGGATAGGTTTGATCTTCTTGCAGTCCATGGAACTCTCAAGAGTCTCCTCCAGCACCATAATTCAAAAGCATCAATTCTTCAGCAATCAGCCTTCTTTATGGTCCAGCTCTCACTTCCATACATCACTACTAGGAAAACCATAGCTTTAACTATACGGGTCTTTGTTGGCAAGATTGCATTCACTGTAATCTGAACAGGCTACCCTCAGACAGAGATGCCACTATCTACCAGTTACCTGGAAATGCAAGTGGGCAGAATGCTATCGTGCTTAGGTCCCGCTTGAAGGTCTGCTGTAGGCATTTGCTTGGCAGGATGGTGGGGTCAATGGGCCTTTGATCTGATCTAGCAGGGTTCTTCTCGTGTTCTTAGGCCATTCAGGGAAAACAGATGGACACTGCCCCTCAATGTTTCAGATGACAGGTGACTATTTCTCAGGAACACCTATATTTCTGTTCTACCTATGTCAATTTCTGTTACAAGCAATAGACAGCACAAACCTATAAATGTTTACTCGAAGTAAGTTTCATTGAGTTCAGTGGAGCCGATTGGTAGGCATCTATCTGTCTCAGGAGACAATGGAGGAATGTGCCTTTTTTTCCCCTTTTCTTTTTTCTTTTTTTTTTTTGAGTGGGGGAATCAAACTGTTAGAGAGTTACAGTGCTTGCTGTGGCTGTAGAGACCAATATGGGAGAGACATCCTTTCTTGCAGCTGGGACAGATGAAGGCGCCCAGTTGCACCATGGTGTTTCTTTTCTCCACGGTCGTCCCAGTGGTCATTCCTCCTCTGGTCACTATTGCGGACACTACTGTGGATACTCAGTGGAGCTTACTCCCAGGTTAATGGGTATAAGATTGCAGCCTAAATAGATTTATGCATTAGCTGTGCGTTTTGAAGGTGTGTATCTTTTTGTGGCAACAAAATTAGATTATTTACAAAAATTAAAATTAGATTATTTATATTTAAGCTTTTCGGTTAATCCCACCTTGCACACAAATTGGCTGAATTTAAAATACAGCTCTTGCATGACAGATTCTAATGTAGTGCTTTTGAATAAGTGTTCCAAAAGACCAACTTATGCAGTAGATTCAAAATGTTTTATTAGAAATTGGTTTTTTTTTAAAGTTTGGTTTTAATTGCTTTTGATGGCATTTTTTCTTCATTTTAACATGTTTCATTTATTATTCGACTGAATGTTATACATTTCGTATCCTAGAAGTAGAGGTGTGCACACAAGAGACTAAATTGTAGTATTTGCCTATCCAATGCTGTTTGGATGCAAAAAAAAAAAAAGAAAAGAAAAAGAGTCTGGACTTTTGTTGTATATATATCAAAACAGGAAATTTCAGACCTTTTATGTGCATCTGCAACAAATCTCTCTCTGCCTAATAACAGCCTTGTGCCTCTCTGTTGGAAAGTGTGCATGAAACAGAACAATAATGAATAATGATGAGTAAATCAAACCTAGGGCTATAGAATTATGAAGGGCAGCTGAACAGATGCTGCCTGTTTCAGCCACTCATTAGCATTTAGTGTTTTTATTACTATTGAAAAATCAGTAACAGGCAAAGTGATCTCTCATTTTGGCACTTCCACAGACCTTAAAGCAAGCACAACTCCCATGGTTTTTACTAGCATTTTGTAGTTTAAATTGCCTTTAATTAGGTCTTTTCTCAGCTAAGGAACACTCTTTCGGTCTGAGTGCTACATGCTGAATGGCTTCTCATGCACAATACTGAGGTAAATATCACCGTGATCTAGAGAAGCCTTTTCAGTGGTATCCTCTCTCACAGCTTCCAACTTCACAAGGCAGATAGCGTATTTAAGAGGCAAGAGAAGGCCAGCACCCTGCCAGCCTTATTCAAAAGATTTATATCCTGCCTTTCAGGACAGGTGTCCTCCCATAAATATAGCCTTATTTCACATAAAATCATTTATGTGAGTCTACCATTGCACCCCTTTAAAATGAGCAGCAAAAATGTCAGTAAGACACAGCAATTAATGAAAAAAGTGGATTGAAATAAAAGCATCTGAGAAAGGGACCATCCATATTTCATGGTGGGTTAATGGAAAATTAAGAGTGGTCTTACTTTGTGAAGTTTCTCTGCTGTGAGACACCCCCTAGCAAAAGGTATGGAAGGAAGGAAGGAAATCAGCAACCCAAGAAAATCACAAGTTTATGAAGCTAGCAATACCAAATAACTACTTGGGGCGCAAAGAGAGTGGGAAGAATTTACAGAGCCTACCTTGATAGAGTGCATAGTCATATACATAGCATAAGAAGAACGCAAGGAAGTGATCTCTAAGTAGACTATGGTGTAAAATAATTATTTGACTTGAGGCCTACCAGAATCTATCATGGCTGCTTGACTAGGCCTGGCTTGTTGAAGGGGAGTTTGAATGCTAAATAAAACCTGTTGGAACGTATGCAGAAACACATGAAGTCAATTTCTAAATATTATGCAGTACATGGCCAGCAAGAACAAGCAGAGGTATTTTCCCTTGCTCCCTCATACAGCCCACAACAGACCAGAGAACAACTGTGGTTTAGCGGTTTCATACAGCATTGATAATTTCATATATTTAATATGGGTTTGCTTGCTTTTTTGAGGTATGTTTACCCTGTCATGCCGCAGGGCAGCTAACAATAAAACAAATTAAAATGCAATAAAAAATAAAAAAATACTAAGAAACTGTGGCAGTGGCCCAAAGGGCCACAATAAATGTGATAATGTATACCCCTGTAAATCCTTGAGTGTGCTTCTAATAGAGAAGTTATGGTAGCCTGTTACTTTATGAAAGTGATGATTTTGCAAGTTGCCCCCCCCCCAAAAAAAATTGGGGCAGAAATACAGCTAATATGTGAATCACAAAGATACAGCTCAAAGCTAGAACATAAGTTGCTACATGGCGCAAATGGCTACACAAAACACAAGTTCCCAACATGCACACTAACAAAATGTAACAGAACACAGTGGGAATCAGAACTTAATCAGCAGACATCTGAAGGCAGCCCTGTTTAGGGAAGTTTTTAATGTGTGACATTTTAATGTATTTTTTATCTTTGTTGGAAGCCGCCCAGAGTGGCAGGGGAAACCCAGCCAGATGGGTGGGGTACAAATAATAAATTATTATTATTAATTATTATTAAATTGCCAGTGCTTGTTGTGCATGTGTTTTAAACATGAAATGATGTAATGATTTATATGACTGGTGAAAATTGAAATGCTTTGTTTGAAATTTTATAAACACCGCTGCCTGAACCACCGGGCAGGGTTGCAGTTTTGCGGAACGATCTGACTATAACCTATTGCTTTGTAATAAACACCGTTGGACTCCTAACTCCTCACGTTTCTGAGTTTTATTGGCGTAAACTCAGAGATAAGCCATTTTCTGGCTTACAACAAAACAATAAAACAGCAGATGAGAAACCACAATAAAAACGAAAAGACAATAAACTCAATTAAAAATAATAGCAGATCAGGCAATTAAAAGGAGACAGATATCATAAAAAGCCATTAAGCCTAAGAGAACAGCATGGCCTTTATCCATTGTCTAAAAGTTGGTGAAGAAGGCACCAGACTTTTTATTCTATTTTTTTAATAAAACCTATTGATATCCCACTTTTTTCAAGATCTCAAGGTGGATAACAAAAATTCAGCAAAATAGCCAATACAAAATGAAACATAAAAGTACACATGAAAACAATTCATAATGCTCACTTGAGCAGCCATACTTTTAACGAAAGGTTACCAACATAGGAGCCAGCCAAATATCACGGAGCAGGGAATTTAAAAGCCAGGATGCAACCACAGACAAGAAGGCCTGGCCTCACATTTCCATGGGGGATCAAGTTCCAATGGTGGGATATTGAGGAAAGCCTCCATGGCTAATTAATTCTCAGGCAGCCTGTGCAAAAAAAATTTTTAAAAAATACTGGCCTAATAAGTTCTCTGGTTCCAAATATATCCAGGGACTGAGTGCCACTGTTTGGGTGCCACTGCTGAAGAGGCCTTCTTTTCAGTATCCTTTCAGAGCCCAGGAGCTGGGGGGAAACAACAACAAAAGCCTCCAGAACAGATCTTAATTGATGGGCAGGTTCATGAGGGAAAAGATGGTCTTTTAGATACCCAGGTCATGGTAATTTAAAGACCAATACCAAAACTTTGAATTGTGTCCCAAAACAAACTGACAACCTGTGAAGCTTTAGGGGGTTTTTTGGATTAGAATTACATGCTCTCTGTAGTTGGCCCCATGTAATAATCCAACTGCTGCATTTTGCACCACTTACAGTTTTTGAACATTTTTGAGATGCAGTTCCACATGCAATGTATTACAGTAACGTAGACTGGGTAAATAGACCATGAATAATTGAATGAACACAGCTGCTGAATCAGCTAAATTTTACCTCTCCGTGCACTGCAGCCTCAATGAAAATAGGTTTCCTGTCCCTACTATTAAGTAAGGGAGGGAGCTGGGGCAGGCGGGGAAACTGGCAAAGTTCCTAATGGCACATTTAGTGTCATGTCTAGTTTAGCCCTGGGTGTTGATTTCCCCGGACCTGCAAGGATGAACTTGAATGATTATTTGCAGGGTTTGATGCTTCAGTTCTTTTGTGATGGAATTAAAAAAATATATATCCTGGTGATCCTAGTTAACATATCCCCACATCCATTCCCCCACTTTCTAGATTTGTGTCTAGAGCAGCATTTAATTCTCAAAGGCAGGGCTAACTGCAAGAGGATATATGGGTTGAAATCCTAGGAGCCACACAGCTTTCCTCTATGAACAAGTCCATATAAAACAATTCTACAATTCAAATGGGAAGGAGCAACTGCAGTGCGTTAGTATTCAGTGCAATGCAATAGTGACATTTTGTGGTTGATATTTAGGTGATGGGAGGAGTCTGGAATTTCAGCCGTGTTTGCTGTGACATATTTGTTACTATGGACGTGATGATGTGCACAGCCAGCATTTTAAATCTCTGTGCTATCAGCATTGACAGGTAAGAACAAAAAAGCACAACAGTAAGCTGTGGTAGAAATGGGAGGTTCTCAGGTGGGCTAAGACAGGGAAGTGGGTTGAATTTTATGTTAGGGATTTATATAGAAAAACAATTGTGCCACATATGTGCATGCCACGTAATACGTCAGATAATTGTGCCACATATGATAGTTTTTTATGTATGTGTCAGACATTAGATTCCCCATCTGTGTCTTTTTTAGCAAAGTAAATGTGGGGAATATAAAGAGTTTCCATAAAGTTAAGCAGATGTGATAGCAAACTATGGCCTGGTTCGTACATCATGGTAAGCCATGGCATATCAGGACCATGCAAATGTGCTAGATGAATCCCAGATTTCCCTCCTCCTTAAGCACAATCTGTACCTAAGGTTGGTCCTATGGTTACATTTTACGGCTAAGGAGAAGAGACATTAACCACAATCCCCAAATTGGTAAAGGTAAAGGTAAAGGTAAGGGGACCCCTGACCATTAGGTCCAGTCGTGGCCAACTGTGGGGTTGCGGCGCTCATCTCGCTTTATTGGCCGAGGGAGCTGATGTACAGCTTTCGGGTCATGTGGCCGGCATGACTAAGCCGCTTCTGGCGAACCAGAGCAGCGCACAGAAACGCCATTTACCTTATTTATCTACTTGCACTTTGACGTGCTTTCGAACTGCTAGGTTGGCAGGAGCAGGGAATGAGCAACAGGAGCTCACCCCGTCATGGGGATTCGAACTGCCGACCTTCTGATCGGCAAGTCCTAGGCTCTGTGGTTTAACCCACAGCGCCACTCGCGTCCCTCCCCAGCTTGGACAACACCCTAAAAACCTTGACTTATCTGTCATGTCATGCTGTGCTAAAAAGACGGGGCATATAGCAAAGTGGGTGCAAACTCATCTCTGGGAGCTAACAATTTCATGCAGTCCTGTTAACACATAGCTTGGCTTAACATGATGTGTGAATGAGGCCTATACATATGTTACATGCACACACATATAATAGTGCCTCAACCTTTTTTACACTCATTTAAATGGAGTGGGGAGGGGGACAAAAGATTTCTGCACTGGCCATTTTTATTCCACCCAGTCATGCATCTGAAACCCAGTGACAGCACCAGAAAAAGGGATGGGGCACAGAAGGAGCAAAGTATATTTCAGGGGTGGGGGGCAATTGCATTCCATATGTTAAGATCTCTGAAAGAAAAATAACAGTATATGCTAATGACAGGAGTTCAGCAGTGTGAGGAGTGAGCTTCTTTGATGGGGGTGAACTTGCCCCCCCCCCCCTCTGGTGCTGCCCATGCTGAAACCATACAAAGGAGGAAAACAGATTGTGATTTTGAGCAGGCAAATGGGAAAAGATTAATAATCCCTTTTCTAGACATTGTACCTTCACTCAAAATCACGTCCTCCAGCTGCTGCTTTTAATTAACAAAAAAGTCAGGGTTTCATTACACATGGCCACATCCTCTGACATGCGCGCGCACACACACACACACGTGTGTGCAGAAAGCATTGCTTGTAGAAATCTCTTGTCATGATTGGCTATGTCTTTGATTCGCTGCCTCTTCTTACCATTAACAGATACTGACTTACCCGATTCTTTTTTCCAATCTCTTTTCCACGCTGCTTGCCTTTTTTCATCTCTGGCTATTACTACTGAATTGTTTTTCACTTTTCTCATCTTCCATTTTGCATCATTGTATTTATTCTGTTTTCCCATCTCTTTTACTTTCTTCCACTTTGAATTCAACTTTGTCTTATCTTCCTCTGTTTCTGAATTCCATTCCCTTCCCTTCCCCTTACATTTCTTGTACAACAACTCCTCCGTCTTCATCACCCTTGCTTTGGAGTTGGTTCACTTTGCAGATACACTGCAGTGGTTATGCCTGTTCATTATCAGTACAGCACAGGGCCCAGCTCTTGCCGAAGGGTGTCCATTATGATAGCAGTGGTCTGGTTGTTGGCATTTGCAGTTTCCTGCCCTCTTCTCTTTGGCTTCAACACCACAGGTAAATACAGTAACAATACCTTGAAGCACAGGCTTTGTACACAAACATGGGGCCTCCTACGGCTTATGGCTTTAAGAACTCAGCTTCCCCTTTTTCCAAGAACATGCTGGAAAAGCCATCCTACTTCTGTCAACTGTGGAAGATATTAAAATGGCTACTGGAAAAATGTTCAGCCTCCAAACTACATTTTTTAGATCTTACTGGTTTGTAGAAACAAAAACATATTGTATTTGTTCTAAGAACCATACCTTTATTATTCACACACAAAAATATGTAGCATGAAAGTTACTCTACCTCCTCTTTTCTATGTGTCTTTTCGCTCAGGTGATCCAAATATTTGTTCCATATCCAATCCCAACTTTGTTATCTACTCCTCTGTGGTGTCATTTTATCTTCCGTTTTTGGTGACCCTGCTGCTCTACATCCGGATTTATATGGTGCTGAGGCAGAGACAAAGGAAGCGAATCCTCTCCAGACAAAGCAGCCACAGCGGTAAAACCTGCTACAAACAACAGGTATGACCCAACATACAAACAAAAAGGCTTTATTTAGAAAGGGCCTTAACTGTCATATTCTATATAGTATGCCTGTAGGGTTCTACTGGAGCCCATAAGGGGTGAAATAGAAACAGCCCTATCAACTTGCAACAGGCCTATGTAGGCCTCATTTCTACACCTCCTGTGCCTCTTCCTCATATGGAGTCTGCTCAGCTCCCATAAACTACTGCAGCTGTTGTTTCCTTGCAGCTGTTGTTAAGACAACAGTTCCCACCTGGAGGTAGCACATGGGCTGCTTTTGGCCTTCTGCAATGCATTCTCTCTGCCTAATCTCATGTCCTACTTGTGAGCTTTCCATACGCCTCTGGCAGGATACTAGTAAACCTTTAGTCACACCCAGAATCACTCTTTTCATGTTCTAAGAATGGGAAGGGTTTCTTAGTTTCTTCCTCTCTGGCTTTTTGGTTTAGTCAGACTCACCCCTCAGTTGGAACAGATGCTTTTCCCCACCCCACCCTGCTCAGTGGGCAATAAGACACGGGCATATCTGCTCAGAAGAATTTTGCAGGGTTTTGAATATGCAAAGCTGATTTGAGCATAGCATTAGCAGAGGGGCAACTGAAACTGTTTACCAATCATGAGCCATGATGGATCTGTTAGTCTTCATATCAGCTATTTCCAGCTCTACTGGAATGATTCACTTATGTGGTAACAAGCACTAGTGAAATAAATTACTTGCCTTTGAACTGCTAATTTTATTACTTACTTTTGGGAACAAGTATTTTATTTACTAGTTTCAGGTTCATAGACCTAAATGGGTATCATAAGGTATCAAATAAGGTATCAAATATCTCTGTTGAGAACACAGAATGTCATCAGGACTGCTGCAGCAATTGCAGCCTCAGGCAATAAAAGCTACAGGAGATGATGGATCCACTTTAGTGGTTAGTTTTTGTTATGAATAAAGTTTCTAACTGCTAATTTCAGTGGAAACACACATTATTTAAAGCACGGGTATTTAAAATATCAGATATACTGCCCCTACCCTGAAGAAGAAATTACATATACAATTTGCAACACTCTATGGGTTAAGTTAAATATTAGTTTTATACTAACTAGCATCCAAATAGTGTGATAATAGAGGGTTTAGAGTGTCGAACTAGAACTGAGGAAATTCAGATTTAAAATCCCACTCAGCTATGAAGCTCACTGGACAAACTTGGGCCAGTCACAATTTCTTGTATGTAACCTCACCAGGTTGTTATGAGGATAAAATTGGGAAGGGGTCTGCTGCTTTGAGCTCTTTTGAGGAAAAAGCAAGACATAAATAAGGTTTTGTTTGTTATGCTATCTATTTTTGTGTCTTTATATTGTAAACTGCCCTGTGATCTTCGGATTATGCTTTGGTGTCAGAGAGAGAGAGAGAGATTTATAACAGGTCAGTGGAACCCTACAAGTTTTGCATACCAAAGGTCCCAGGATCAGTCCCAGATAAGGCTGTGGAAAATTTCTGCCTGAAAGCCTAGAGAGATGTTTCTAGTCAGTGTCAACAATATTATGCTAAAATGACCAGTGTTCTGGCTTGGTCTAAGGCAGCTTCCCATCTTTCTAAGTGGAACCTGATTCTTGTTGGCCTCTTGTTTTTCAGCAACATACAGAAAGGAAAGCTTTGCACCAGAAGCTTCCCAGTGCACTCTTGTGTTGTTTGCAGCTAAAGAGTTCAGGTCAAAGGCTGCCTGCTGAGAAGAAGCCCCTGACACCCACAGAACTGCAGCAATATTGCAGTTTCTGCCACGAAGTTTCCATCTCCAGTACAGGGGATAGAGAGGTTGTTGATCTAAAGGTGAGGACAAAAGTCAAGGAACAAAGTTTAGAAGTACGCAAACTCAACAATGGCAAAACAGCAACCTCTTTGAAGCTACCATCTCAGCAGCATCGGACAATACAGCTCAGAGAAAGGAAAGCCACACAAATGCTAGCTATTGTTCTTGGTAAGTATTTTTGCTCCTTTTTAAGAACTGGCTGTGCAAGAATGAGGACCCAACTGAATATTACATGGCAGACATATATAACAGGTTTGAGGTTTTGTTTTTTGTTTTAACAAAAGCAGCTGCAGCAGGCTACAAATTTGGTTGGAGGAACCACAGAGAGGAAGAGTGCTTTTAAAAAATTACACTTAAAAAGCTTGTTGTCTGCAGTTTCAATGTAAATCTACATTTTGCTTTAAAATATTTCCCTTCTACTTTCTTTCCTCCTTTATCATTATTTCCATGTGGCTAAATAGCCAAGAGGCTCTCAAAGATGTTTCTTTAGTTATGTGTGAGGATGCCCTGAAAATAATGGAAAGAACTATGAATTGGCTCTCAGGTGGGCAGATTGAGCCAAAGCCCTTCTGAGCCAAAGTGATGGTGACATCTCATTTTCTTTCTCATTCTAGGGACTTTCATAGTCTGCTGGCTGCCATTCTTTTTGACACACATACTGAATACTCATTGCAAAGCTTGCCACATCTCCCCAGAGTTGTACAGTGCTACCACATGGCTTGGGTATGTCAACAGTGCCCTCAACCCTGTCATCTACACCACCTTCAACAATGAGTTCCGTAAAGCTTTCCTCAAGATCCTGAATTGCTGAAAACTCGGAGAGCAACACAGCATTACATACTATGTGGGTGCTGCAGATAAACATACCTGAGTGGATTTTCTCAACCAACTGTGAGGAAAAAACAACACGGGACCCACTTTTGCATCAGTTTTTCTTTAGCAGCTACTATGAGAAATACTTTTCACAATAGCAGAATCCATCTGTTCTGTGTTAGACACTGGTGCAGAAAGAACCATGAAATTGCTTTAAAGTTTTGCGTCCATGAGAAGCACACATTATGAGACTGTCTGAACAGTTCCAGGATGCAGCATTATTGTGTCTGCCTGTAGGACACTTTGAAAGGAAAAAACTGTATGACTCCTTCTGCCATAGATACCTCCAAGTAGCATATATTTGACTATGAACAGTTCTGAAGAGATTCCTATTAGGAGAGGTCAGGAGCAGGAACATCTGATGTGTTTGCACTCAGTGTTTGAAGTATAGCACAGTCATTAGATGCACATAGCCAACTGTGACTTACAAAGCAAATGTGAGTTCACACAGTTCAAAAAGTTGAGATCTGTGCACTACTATTTATCTAAACATATCACACTGGCCAGTATAACACATGCAAGGATTCCTTGGAGTTAACTGGTTTCACACACTGAAATAACAGCTAAAAATGTAATTATATTTCAGTACTATAAATAATTGAAATATATATAGTAGATAATGCCAGACACAGTAAAAAGAACAGCTTTACCAACACACAACAAAATAAACAAATGTTCTAGATTTACGCTAATACATTAAAACATCGTTGTATATTCTTTGACTCTTTCCAACATTCACTTTACTTGGAAATAAGTCAAAGTTTTTCAGTGGTACTTCCAAGGATTAACATGTTTAATCGGAAGTATGTTTCACTGTGTTTGATAAGTCATGTAAACATGAATAGGATTGCAGCATCAAGATTTAAGGCTCTGGACAAATATCACAACACATTGTTTCCTTGTCTGAAAGGTGGCATATAAATATTTTAAAACACAGTATAAGTCTTAAAGATAATTTTCATACAAAGGATTCAAAAATACAATACAGTGGTGCCTCGCAAGACGAAATTAATTCGTTCCGCAAGTTTTTTCTTCTTGCGAGTTTTTCGTCTTGCGATGCACGGTTTCCCATAGGAATGCATTGAAAATCAATTAATGCGTTCGTAGGAAACCGACTTCAGACCAGGTCCGGGGACAGTCTGTCCCCCGACCTCTTCTGAAGGCTGGGGGACAAGGGCTTTCTTCCCACCCACCCCAGCATTTTAAAACCCCGGGACAGCGGAGGGCTTCTCCGCTGTCCGAGGCGATCTTAAAATGCTGGCGGGCGGCACTCTAAAATTTCCCCGGGACAGCGGAGGACCTCTCCGCCGTCCGGGGCAAATTAAAAGCCCCTGGGAAGGCAGGCAGGGGGGACAAAGACTTTGCCCCCGCCAGCCTTCAGAAGAGGTCCTGGACCTCTTCTGAAGGTTGGCGGGGCGAAAGTCTTGTCCCCACCTGCCTTCAAAAGCTGTCCAGCCAAGGCTTCGCGGACCTCTCCGCAAGCAGCGGCAGCACTGCCGCTGCTTGCGGAGAGTTGCCGGCATGCCGAAGCCTGCGCGCGCTGAGATCAGCGCGCCCAGGCCTCGCGGACCTCTCCGCGAGCAGCGGCAGCGCTGCCGCTGCTTGCGGAGAGTTGCCGGCATGCCGAAGCCTGCGCGCGCTGAGATCAGCGCGCCCAGGCTCCGCGGCCCTCCCCGCGAGCAGCGGCACCGCTGCCGCTGCTTGCGGAGAGTTGCCGGCATGCCGAAGCCTGCGCGCGCGGAGATCAGCGCGCCCAGGCTTCGCGGACCTCTCCGCGAGCAGCGGCAGCGCTGCCGCTGCTTGCGGAGAGTTGCCGGCATGCCGAAGCCTGCGCGCGCTGAGATCAGCACGCCCAGGCTTCGCGGACCTCTCCGCGAGCAGCGGCAGCGCTGCCGCTGCTTGCGGAGAGTTGCCGGCATGCCGAAGCCTGCGCGCGCTGAGATCAGCGCGCCCAGGCTTCGCGGACCTCTCCTGCCTTCAAAAGCCGTCCGGGATAGCGGGAAGCGCTTCCCTGCTATCCCGGACTGCTTTTAAAATGCTGGCGGTGGGGAGCAAAGCCTTTCGGCCCCCGCCAGCCTTCCTGGACCTCTTCTGAAGGCCGGAGGGGGGGGGCAGGCGTTGCTCCCCACCGCTAGCATTTAAAAGAGGTCCCCGGAGATTTGCCTATGGGCTTTCGTCTTGCGAAGCAAGCCCATAGGGAAATTCGTTTTGCGAAGCGCCTCCAAAACGGAAAACCCTTTCGTCTAGCGGGTTTTCCGTCTTGCGAGGCGTTCGTCTTGCGGGGCACCACTGTATCAACAACTAACGATGCTTCTAAAAACTTCTTTCAACAACATTAATAACACAACATTCATAAAACATCCAGTTCATGATGCGAAACAAGAATTCCGCAAGACCACCAATTAGCAGAAACAGATGGAAAAGAGATTTCCCAGTCAAAGAAGGTGCTATCCTATGTAAGCGTTTCAGAAAGACTAGAGCATGGCTGCATTCCGGATATTTGCTAGCCCATATGCTAGCGTTATATAGTTCCAATTGAAATAGAGTTTCCCAGTTATGGTGACTTTCATTATATTGGTAGTAGTTTTCAGGTTGAAAACAGGTGTGCTACATGTTTAGAGTTGTAGAGAAAAAGTGGTTTCAGGGAAACTGGCAAAGTATTCACCTTTTCAACAAAAGCTATTCTGTTGTGTGAAAGCCTAGAAAGGGGGATTTATCCCACAAACACAAAATGTATGTGTTTCCATGAAAGGGTTCTGGAAGTGCTCAGTGGATCTGCAGCAAAATTCAAAAAAAGTTTATGGCATTTGAGAAGCACAGATCTGATTTAATTTAACAAACGTATCACATGGATCTTGGAATGCCAATTCTAAGCTCTTAAAATTCTTCTTAGTTCTTAGCTGCCTAGCCCAAGACTGACCTGGTTCTTTGTGACATCAGAGTAGCTAAGCCAATTGCATCCTGAGTGGCCATAACATCTTCCCTTGAAAGACAAGCAGCAGAACAGCTCAAGAAATCGGAGCTGACTTGACAGCCTATCAAACAATAACATCAAAAGATGCAGGGCGGGTGAGAAGATCAGTCCAAGTCCAAGAAGGGCATGGAGAAGAATGTAAATACAGCTCATTCACTGTTGGGGCTTTTGCTAGCGGGTGTGGACTTGATCAACAGCTGCACATTGTACACCAGCAATGCTTTTTACATTCACCAAGGCTCTGATCCTGGATTGCAGTCCATGTTTTTGAACTTTAATAATGCTTTCTATCCAGACAGCAAATTAAATTCACAGAAGGCAGCAGATACCCCTTAACCATTTTTAATAAATAGATACAGAACCAAGCTTAAAGTTAATACTGTATATTTTCCAACCTGTCTCCTGTTATATTTGATTTCATTCTTATAACATTTGGATATATAGCTGCACATATACCCAGTCTCTGAGTGCTAAGAGATTCCGGGGGTTCCAGCCCCTGGTTCATGTTTCCTTTTTGGAATGAGGCATAGCGGAGACTGTGGTGTATCTATGACCTTCTGCTTGCTGCTCATGAGGAAGCTGGCCTTATATTTTAACCATGATTGGGTCTAGGGATTCTGGAGGCTTGATTAAATTCTAACACTTCCTGGGTCCAGGAATGGAAAAGTGTCACACACTCATAACAGTATTATAAAGTTCATAGCTTTACTTGTCATTCAAGTACAGAATGTGTTTTGTTTGTTAATCACAGGGCAACAGCATTCCCTTAGTGTAACCATTTTTATCAGTAAATCAAGCCAACCGGGGGAAAAGCTATCAGTTGCATTGAGTTTTATATTCAGCTTTCTTAAAGCAAAGGATAAGCCAGAAATTGAAACTGCGTTGCTACCATATGACTTTTTATCAAACATACAGTGTAGATAATTTTGGTTGGATTTCTGTTCATGACATATATTTCTCAAGGCATATATTTCTGAGTACCTGAATAAACATCTTCGTTCTTGGAATAGATGTACTGGAATGAGACATTCATCTTGAGAGGCAGTAACTTTTTGTTGTTGTTGGTATCCATCTGTCTCGAGAGACTATGGAGTGCGCCTCCGGGTGTGAAGTCAAACAGCTGCATTAGCAGCACCAACGTTTCCTCCTTGGGGTACAAGCCTGGGCAGTGTGTATGGAGATCCTGAGCTTCCCAGACAACAAGACCCTCCTCTCAGCCTTGCTGATATGGCCCAAAGGAGAGCAATATGTTTTGCACTAGCTTGGCTTCAGGAGGCACCATCCAACCATCATAGGGACTGCATTCCTGATTTGTGTAGGGTTTACTCCTTAGCCTTTTCATATCCCAAAGATATTCCACAAGGCAGTGGAGGTTTAGGATTAATTTTCCTTCTAGATGGGCTACCTTCCCATGTTGATGAGCCCCATCTGCCCCTCACTTCTCTCTACAACACATGCAAAAACTGCCTTCTTGACCATTGGACCCACTATTGGTCTTGTAGGCAGTTTAATTACCTCTTGTCATATTTTTAACCACCAGTTTCTCCACACTCCCTGAGAGGTAAAAGAACAGATTTCCCTCCAGTGCTTTCAATATACTGTATGTTTGTCTATGGAATAGTGATTCTAATCTATGCTGGTTGGCTGTCAATTAAAAAAGTAGAGGAGGTAGTTATTCCAAAACAGCTAATATGGAATAAAATAGATTGAAACTCTGAATGTGCACTGTGGGTAGAAAATAACGAAGCTCCCTTTTGACAACCTCAGTTTGAAATAATCTGCTAAACTGATTTCATGCTGCATTTTATTGAGGTATCTATCAGTCAGTATCACTGACTAGTATCTTTCTGTGTCCTGGCTTCCGGTGTAATGGAAAATACAGTAAAAAACACAGTTCAGTCATGAGATGTGCACTTCATATCCACTGAACTCTTGTAGAGCCCATAATCACCATGTACATTGCT